CCGCTCCTGCACAGTTACCAGCCGTCAGCGGCATAGAAAAATATCCTGGTCTAGAAAGTAATATTAAATACATTCTAACAACAGCTGATCACGTGCTGCTGTTGTTCAGCTGCTGGTTTCCTCTTTCTGGTTCAAAGTGGGCCAAAAACAAAGAAGTCAGATGGACTCGCGACAGAAAAGCTGATCAGCTGATCATTAATCAGTTTCACGACTGAAGTAGCAGCAGGAGAGAGAGAGGCAGTCGCTAGTCGCTCTATATATCGGTTGTTAAGCTTAATGTGGGAATGCTTTACAGACATTCAGAGATGAACTTACACACTTGCTTTACTTCTCTCTGGGATCACTTCCTCAGAGATGAAATGCCGGTTTGGTAGCAAGGCTACAAATACACACGACCGCTCTATCACGTGATGCACACTGCTACTGTGCTACGGTTATGAGCCGATTTACGCCATGTCACAAGTTTTGTGAGGTGCTTTTTTGATATTTAATGGATCGGATTACATTTTTTTATTTCTCTCCGATATCCAATCCAGTAATTTACGTCAGTATCGGACCGATACCGATATATCGGATCGGTCCATCTCTAGTTAATACCATAAAATTTCTTGGTGTGATCATTGATCGTAGGGCCTGGGCCTTTCATAGGGTCTTTCCCCTCACATAAGTGATGTGAGGGGAAAGTTAGCTCGAGGCATTGCTGTCTTGGGGAAAGCAAAACAATTTCTGGACAGGAAAACATTGTACACATTATATTGTGCTTTGCTATTACCATACATGAGTTATTTTGTAGAGGTTTGGGGAAATACATATAAAAGTAATATTCAGACTATAACCATAATGCAGAAAAGGGGTATTAGATTAATAAATCAGAAGGGGTATAGGGCTCACACAAATGCACTCTTTATTAAGACGCAAGCTATAAAATTCCAGGATCTGGTGAAGTTTAAAAACAAGTAAATGGTTGTTAGAAAGAGAAGGGGGGTATAATTTTAGAGGGATTTAGAAGTTCCAGTGTGTGTTTGAGGGCATCGCTAAAGCAGGAAACCCAACCCTCCTGAATCAGATCTACACAGAGCTCTACATCACAGAGGGAGGGACTGCAGAGGTCAATGGTGAACATGAGGTCAGACAGATTGAAACAGCATCCAGGAAACCAGACAGACCAGAAACAACCATCAGACAAGAAGACCTCTTTAAAGCCTCACCTGGAAGAGATGAACCAATCAGAACAGTGCTGACAAAGGGAGTGGCTGGCATTGGGAAAACAGTCTTAACACAGA